ATAAGATATATTAGTTTAATACTAAATGTGCTCTGTTCTGTCAACAAAACTCAATCAAATTGTTTTGAACTATAAATGCTTATTAATGTCTTTTTCAAAATAGCACCATTGCACTTATTCTATAATTTAACATTTGAAATTTAAAAGCACTAGCTTTTAAACAATCGTCTTTGTCAAATGAAGGTAATACTGAAACTTGACTTCATACTAATGCATATTGGTATCATATATTTCATTGCAAATGAAGCAAGAGGGAAGCGAGGTGCTCTAATTATACTTCTTGGAGTACTCAGAGAGGCGAACGAGTACAATATATTCAACGTGGATCATAGATTTCCGTTTCCTTTTATTGTGCTCTTAATTTTCACAAATTTTTTGTGCAGTATGGTTTGATAGAAGAGAGATTAATCAACTATCATATTTATTTGATTCTAATCACGAAGGTATCAAATTTCGAGATGAGGAGGACATGAAAGAGTCTGCATATAACTTTAGACTGATAACATAAAATCTTTTCCCGGTTTATCTGTCAGTCTGAAAGGTATATTAGTCTCAGATGAACCAACAGTCTACGGATGTAAGTGAATTTCGCAATTAGAAAAAAATGTATATAGCTACTGCGAGACATGGGCCGAAATCATACTAACCCGCTAAAATTCTCGCAAATTTGAATTCGAGACTTCATATTGTCAAGCGCCAAAATTAAATCATTCTTAATGCTCGGAGGATGCACTTTCCCAAGATATATTACAGTTCGGTTTACGCACGTTATACATGTGAGGATATCAATATGGAATAGGCCTTGAGCATGTCCACCACATACGTTTCAGTCTAGTGACTAACACTGAAACGATCTACAGAAAGTAATATTCAAGGTTTTGGCAAAGAAAAACATAGTGAGGGTGCACGCCCGCATATTGCAGAATCATTACATTCCTAATGCTTTTCGTTGAGTGCTGACTAGTCTCTGTAATATTGTAGTGTATCTTAGAAAAAATTCCTACTAACGTAAGATTTGCTGGTCTAGTTGTTTCATGCTGCATTACATAACAGATCGGAGCTATTACAATTCGAATAATTATCTAAGATACAATGGATCACCGTAAGCCACCATAACATTATCGTAAGCAAGCATAAATGCGCCTTATTTCACCGTAAACGGTCGTCTTTCTGTCGCATTATGACATTATAACACGGACAGTATTACGGATCGTATACGACACCGAATTCCCATCGTAAAAAATCGTAGTATTATCGTTTACGACCGTTTACGGATAGTTTCGTTCGACCAGTGTAGTAAAGCACAAGAAAAGCATTACCTACTCTTGTCGACATAGACGATGAAATTGACAGTCGCAATTGATCAAGTGGCTTTTCTTTTCGTTCTTATCACTCACATAGACGTTTGATGGTGATAAAAATAAGATAAACAACGTGCCTTCGTGTCTGTTGATTTTGTACAAGAACCCAGTCAATTTATGCACACTTTTCCCGATTCTTATTGTTATTTTGTTTCAAAATCGAGGCGTACTTGATTTGCTCAGAAATTATTAAATACACTTCACATAGAGTCTACTGTGCTTCGTGTACTCTGGACGCACATGAATGGGAGTATACGTCGTTTATATATCGCATGTCGCAAAATGTATATTGTAAAAACTCTAACGTGAAGACCCCAAAGAATACATTTAAAGTTTTGTCCTATACGGGTACGGGTGTTTGTGTTCCTTTTTACAGAATGGATTTCTAGGTTCAAGACATTGTCCAATGAGACCTAGTATTTAGCGTTGATCTGCCTATTCTTGAATTATTCACTCAATTTTGCCTCACAACGAATCTTTAATGTCTGCTCTTTTACATACTATAGTATTATGACAAGATGAGTCGATTGAGATTTAAGTTAAGCATCAATTGAGTGTAACTGAAGATCAGTAGCGGTCGATAGTCAGTGGGATGGTTCGTGCGCTTCTCGAGAGTGATGAGATTCTTCGTCTGTCGGTTCAACGATCCCATCCAGAAAATTCTCAAGCTTACCTTTACATACATTGAAAGAGGGAACTTCTGTACCAATAGTGAAAACCGAGTCCGTGTCGACTGCTTTTTGAGTGTAAATAAAAGAGATAGACCGGTATGCCGTGCACACTAGAGAGAATAAAAGTACTCGCTAAGTGTCCTAGAACTCTAGTTTTCATCCTGAATCAGTACAATGGCACATCAAAAAATGTTCGCATTGCAAAGATATGCCTAGTTGATGGGAACAAAAAATGTGTTCATTCTGAAAAGTTCTAGTGATTTTTATAACAGAGCATAAAACGATACTGTAAACAGCAACGATGCTCATGATCAATTAGTTATTTGAAGAGTTGCGCCAATTAATTTTCGCTTGTATAATAAAATCAAATGTTTTCAGGGTGTGAGTGCCAATAATTCTCAAATACTCAAACAAGAGAAGACTTCTCAACAGCAAAAAGTAAAAATTTCCATAGAAAATAGGTGTCGTGGATGTTTCGTGAAAAAAGCGTTTGGAACGTTTCTACGAAAGATATATTTAGCCAAAAATCGTAAGAAAGAATAGTTTTTTCATGGGACTCATTAATATTTATAAAGGTTTTCTTTCATTTTCTAGAATCTAGGAATGAGATTATAGAAACTCTTTGTTGAAGATTCTCAGAGAAAACGAGATATGAATGAATCTGATAGATTCACTATGTAAGCTTATACTTAACTCGCTCTGCCAATGTGCTCGGGGTTGAACCAACAAAGAGTTTCTTTCGATAAGTACAGACCATTGATGCTAAATAGTGCGCAATGTAAAGATCACAAAAACAATATGTAGATGTATGCCAACTACCTCATGGATCGAAAACGGAGTGAATGTGATTATTATGATTTTTCTACACTTGTGATGGAGAAATTCTGAAGCAAACAGAACCTGCAGAAAAATTACTTTCTCCTCGGCACCTTCCAACGTCATACAACAAAGCAATCTTGAAAAGGTTTCAAACAACAAAGATCACTTACAAAAAATTTTTTTGTTAAAAAAAAGGACTCATCAAAATAAATCTCAGAACTAGTTTTTTTTCTTTGCTGCTTCTTATTTTCTATGTAGTTTTTAGTTGAATCAGTTGATTATTTCGTAGTTTTTTTTATTAGATTTCAAGAGAAAAAATGAAAAATTTGATGCCCTTTGTTCTTGAAATCACGTGATAGAAATCTAAATTTTTTTAGATAACACAGCCTATAGAGATCTGTTTCTACTAAAAGCTTCGTTAATGCTACTTACTGAATTGATACTGAGCAAATTGGTGAAAGCTCAATTTTTACCGGAAATCAGAGTTTATTTTAATTTTCCCTCCAACACACACACATATATATATACTGGCTATTCAATAAATTTTCTCGATTTATCTTTAGAAAACGTTAATGATCATCTATTTACAAAATTATAAGATTGCCATAAATCATTCCATGAACCATATTATTTGCCATTCAATAGCGTTCATCCTATGCACATATGAAAAAGAATACTCCAGTTGGTATGCTACTTCGACCGATCAGATATTGTTCAACATTCAAAGCATTTTAAAATGAACGTGAAGATTGACAAATGGCTTTATTATTAAATAAATACCCATGTATTTTTATAGATAAACATTTTAATCGTGTCCTATGAAAACTTAATATCAATCAACAATTGACTAGTAATAACTACAATATGATACGTGAAAAGATTACTTATACGCCAATACAAGGAAAAATAACCATTGATTATCACAAGACTATATTCATCCATTTCACTTATTGTTTAAATATGAGAACATTACCATCAAAGTTTCATAGCCTATGGAACAAGTAATTTATCGAATCTCCAATTATTGATACTCGTAATGTACACAGCTTACAAAGGAAATTAGTACATCATTTTTAAAAAATTGATATTAAAAAATTCTTTTATCAAATATCAAATTCTTTCATCCATATGCTGTTTGATTTTATAAAATTGAACACATTCATATAATAGATGCAATCACTTTGCTTTTCAAATTATTATAATATATAAGCTAATGATCTTTATATTTCTTATTCAGTTTTGTTTTAGTACAATCATTTAACTTCGAGAAAACGATCGATTGCTGAAAAGCAAGAGTTGAGAAGAGTAAATTGGCTTTATCTCTTATTTCAACACAGATAGATCAATTTGTTTTTCATTTGAAGCAATTGTCAAGTGACATATAGTACTGGTTACCCTGCGACAAGAAAGCGGTTACTGACAAGCGATTTGTTATTTCTTTTTTCGTTAAACTTACTGAAAGAACTTACTTTACTTTCGTTCAGTTCCTGTATTTGATTGTTACAATTTCACCTTCTTGTTTTTCTCTCTCAAGTATTTTAGTAAGGAGTTGTATTTTATTAAATGAATGAAATGACGACTATGAAAGCAACATTTATTTCAAAAGAACGTGTCAATATAGTATATCTCCTATATTATTTTATGGTATTAAATAGGAATTTTTTTCATTGAATTAAATTAATAGTAGACGTAATTGAGATTCGTCAAGACGGTATCAGTTCGAAAACATAGGTAACGAAAAGATAAATCATGACATACGTTGAAGAATATGTAACTATTAAAGTGTTGATGCCTCCAGAGATGAGTAGACCCCTCAATGAGATACCATGAAATTGTATCTATACACTCCAAAAATAGAACCACAAGAACGCTCTTGAAAACAAAGGATGGGCAAAAATATACTTAATTCCTATTATTTTGTATACGGAAAGACTGCATGCACTAAGCTGCATTTAATTGCTACAAATCGAATAACAGAATGTGACTTAGCCAATTTTTTATTCGAATAGCTACTCTCATACTCTGTTAATTTTAGTCGAGGTACACAATCACACAAAGTATTTTAAATATAAACCATTGTAAAAGTAGGACATGAATATTATCATTTATACGTTTAGTTGTTACAAAAAGTCTTTGTACTTTTCTGAACATGGTCGCCGTATCTGTTGTTTTGATTTTCTGCGTTATCTCATTTGCTGAATGTTACTGGAAACCAACTCCACTCACAAATTGGACATGGCAAATAATGGGAACGTTGGATACAAGTAAAAATGTGGTCATGTATGATATTGATCTATGGGATACACCGAACAATACAATTACTGCTCTGAAAAATGCAGGAAAAAAAGTTATCTGCTATTTCAGGTACATATTGGTATTCATCAGATACTTCCTATTTAGTTAAAAAAGACACTTCTGTATATTAGAGTTAAACTACTATTCTTTTGCATGTTAGTCTTCCTAGAGAACAGATGCTAAGATTTTTCACATTTAGAATCGACAATTCAGAGCCACTTCTCTGACATATTCAAAATTTCCTGCTGTAAACTGTTAACTACAATGTAGGCAAAAAGTTTTGCATTGACTATCTTTCAGTAAGTGCTCAGAAAATATCATATTGTACCAAACGATATGATACACAGCAATGAATTTTTAAAGGAACGCTGTTCATTTCACTTGAAAAGTTGAAAAAATGTCATAGTGATATTCAGCTAAGCATTTATCTACAGACAGTTAGTATTAATTTTTGTCTAAAATTCAGTGCTGGAAGCTACGAAGATTGGCGTCAAGACAAAAGTCGTTTTCCTGCTTCTGTGAAAGGAGATCCACTCGATGGCTGGCAAGTGAAATATTTTCTTCATCTGTATTTTGATTGATATTCTACAATTAGGAATGGTGAGTCATGGTTAGATATTCGCCGTTTGGACATTCTTGGGCCTATCATGGCTGCTCGCTTAGATTTAGCCAAAGCAAAACGATGCGATGGTGTCGAACCGGATAATGTTGATGTTTACACGCAAATCAATGGAGGAGGGTTTAGAGTCACGTATCAAGATCAAATAATTTATAATACTTGGCTAGCTCGAGAAGCTCATGCTCGAGATCTTTCAGTTGGCTTAAAAAATGATCTCGATCAAGTTCCAGATCTTGTATCACATTTCGATTGGGCAATCAATGAGCAATGTTTTGTTTATAACGAATGTGATACACTTCAACCATTTATTAGAGGTAAAATTTTTGAAAAATCAATAATTAACTTTACGTTTCTGTTAATTGCAGCCAACAAAGCTGTTTTCAATTGTGAATATGCTACTCATCGAAATTGCCTGAAAGCTGTGCAAAGCAAAATGAGCTCAATTCAAGCAACGCTTGCACTCGATGGAAAGAACATGAAAATGTGTAATGCTCAAGGCCAATTGGTGCCATTTTAAATGTGCAAATATCATACTCGTAATGAGTGCATAGATGCTAATAAAAAATAAATGGTCAACCGACCAATTTGCGCGGTGCGGTTATGAATAAAAAAATATATTTAATCTATTAAATCTACTGAATAGGAAGGATTAGGTGTAGGTGTGAACATGAAAGCGTGCAATTCATAGAGAAACTAAGTTATCGATATTTCATCTCTACAATAACAATCTTCACATATTACTCGTTTTAGTTCAACGGTAGAATCCAAGTACGATGATAATTTCTGATAGAAGGAATATTCTTGTGATGGTATTATATCTTATTCTGTTCTGTCATATCATACTATCATGTCGAGTACATGAAAAGCATACATGTATATACGAAACTAGGACTCACAGGAGAAAGAGAGCAAACTTGTCCACGATACATAGCCACGCAGAAATATGATATATTAACAATCAACGAATCCGGCTAGATCTTTTTCTATTTGTTTAGATTAAGATCAACATGAGAGCAATCAGCTATGATTTTATATCTCTGAAATATAATATTTTGACTAACGTTCTTATTTTAATTTTAGGTTTATAGCCTGACGAAGAAAATGAGTTCTTAGAAAGATTTCCATCTGAGTTTGATGTTCGGGATTTCATTTTATGCTTTAATTGAGACGGCTTACGTTAGTCTGAAACTTTTGTGGGAAATCTTTTTTTAAATAGTTTCGGCAATAGTTAGGCATTCAACCCGTACATCTTTGAAGTCTAAGAAAGATCTTACAGTGTGCCTAGGCAAAGAAATTTTGATGAGCCATTCTTATGATGATATACTAGCCGTGGTATATTGATATTTAAGATCAATTGGAAAAAGCATACTCAAGAAGATATGTCTTGCTGGGAAAGTATTGAGATCCTAGAATCAGTGAAAATCCCTTGAGAGAAAGCATTATACGTATATAGTGTGAAATAAATAGATAAGATCATATATTAATATTAATTTTAGCTATATTTCAGAAAGTGACATCTCTGTAGATACCTTCATGATTAAGCGCAAATTTAAGCCAATGAAAGTTTTAAGATTCCTTGACGAAACTATATCCAAATTTTACCTGTTAACAATAAAAAACAATAACTACGCACATATTTACTATTGCACATGCACTAATTTTTGTTTTCGCTGTTTTACATTCATACCATCACACGCTTTAATGAATCATATCACCCCAGAGTGGTTTCGAATAAAATGTTTACGGTGATATGGTAAGTAGATTTGTATATCCGATAATGCTGAAAGTCGTAAAATGTTTACGGTGAAAAAAAATTGCATATTTGTCATGACAAATATGCAATTTTTTTTCACCGTAAACATTTTATTCGAAACCACTCTGGGGTGATATGGTAAGTAGATTTGTATATCCGATAATGCTGAAAGTCGTACTAGTGTCCCCTAATTAGAGATTTCTATTTAGCTCGATTATTATCTCTATATTATTAGTTGACAATGTTGAAACTACAATATATTATATGATTATTATAGTATATCTCAGGTATCCGTTTCTCATAACTTTTTGATGCATAATACAAATAGATTAGTTTGTTTTCGAAACGAAAAGTTTTATCTGTATTGGGACGTATGTATAGCAGTTGACTCTGGTTGAAATGCTAAAAGACGATGAGAAATTTGAAGCAGAAATATGATACTGGAATACAGTGGCTAGAAGTGTTTTGGGATTATCGCAGCTAAAAAAGACGATCATCGTATATTTACTTCAAATTTTTCAGCAAAATTTCCCTAAAAGCTCAGGAAATTAATTGCAGTCAAATTTACTTATATAATGAATTGATACTGGCCCACGCGTACCCATAGCAATATATACAATAATAGATAGCTCAATATATTTCAGCTCATGAAATTCAAGAAAAGAAATTAGAAAAAATTTAAACTCTTATTCATTAAGCTTGAACCCTAATTCTACATGTGCTTATTAATTATGTGAATATCCTATAGGATCGGCTAAATCAGCGGCGAAATAAGACTCCATTTGTTGAAAGCATTCGAGATCAGCAAAGCCCGTCAGGGCGCAACTGCTCTGACTGTAAGAAGAAACCGCCGCAAGTCCAATGTCTTCATTGCTCGCAACATGTTTGTTTGGAGTGTGCTCAGAAACATGTGAACTTGGTCGCGGGAGATACTGAGGGTGCTATACATTTATTGAACGAAAAAATTGATGTTCTTGATCGTATCGCTGCTAATACTAGACAGAATATAGTGACTACACGCGACAAGATTGTGAAAAAAGCAGATGCTGAACGTGACCAAGCATTCGCATTATTAGCTCAAATGATAGAGCAAGAAAAGCAACAACTACGGAACAAAAACAAACAATTAAATGAATTGCCGCTGAATGAAATACCGATGTTTATACGGAGATTGCCCTCTGAGCTGCAATATTTGAATGAGAAGGACAATTCGCTTTTCAATATAATCACTACAGAACCTCGTATCCAACTTCAGAGGAAACGACAGCAATTGTTTATAAAAGACGAAATGATAAACGAGAAGAGATTAAACAGGGACACATTTGATTATGAAGACGATGATGGTCTTCACTGAAATTAAAATCTTATTTGGGTATATATTTATTGCATAGAATCATGATTTTTTAAAGTTAAGAATGTGTGTAATTAAATAAACATAGCTCCTACTCGTCACAAAAACGGCTGCGGGTTAGATGTGAGCGCGCACATAACTCTCTTTAAAACAAATAGGGTTTGGTGGGGGATGTATAAAGCAACTAAGTTATCAATATTTCAATTCTGCAATGACGATCTTCGCATTGGTACTAATTTTAGTTCGAAGATTGAATCCAAATATATTTTAAATCTCTACTATTGTCAAAGCAATGCTAGATCGTTTTCCACACGCTGTATGTGTAGAAAAAGTATGATACTCATAATTGGCATTGAAGGTGGGTGCAAGGATATGGATGTGCCAAGCATACGGTGATCCAAATTTCGACTGTACTTAATAATGCTATCGATTTTATATATCTTTTTGTGGTTGTCTTTTCGAAGGGTGGCTAATTGAAATTATTCGTAATATCGCCTGTTTAGGTGTTAATTATCTATGTAATCGGTTGTAACATATAGTCATATATTCCAGAGGTACTTGATGAAAGCTACTTCAGTTGCAGTAGAAATCTGTTGTAGCCTGTTATAAATCCATCATATTTTGAGATTCTGACACTATAACACTGGTTGATGCGAATTCTACAATGGGATAAGCCATCTCATAAGGCCCTTTAGGAAGCTTCACACCATTGATAAAAGTTAGTCTCACCCACGTCCTACAACATTTCATATATTAGAGCATAGTTGATCATCCAATTATTTTGTATTATTTACATTTTTATTTTATTACACAATAGCCATATATAATAGAATCGCAAAGTGAATTTTATTTTATTCCGTATGAATGTTTACAAATGATTCCGATGAGAAATCATCAAAATATCAGAAGTATTATTTACTATTTATATAATGAACTAATAAAGAAAGAGACATTTTCATGATTGTTGGAATGCTTTTCAATTTAAAAAGGAATACTATTATATGTATTTGAGAGCTATTGAACTATCTTAATAAATATGAAATGTTAACAATGAAAAGCATGAAATGAAAGTCAAAAAATTTCGTGGAGTAATTTCTATTATGTAGTGTAAGATCTAAACATTTCATGACACGGACTCATTTTCGATCATATCGGCAAATGTTGAAGTTTCAGTTCTAATTCAGATTCTATAGAATCGAATCATCATTATAATCAATGACTTTCAAGCTGTTTACCGCAATAAATTTCGATTGTAATAATTTGTCTTTCTTTTTTTTTATCGATTCGATACGTACGAGGATGATTACCGACTCATTGTACTGTTTGACAAACATTTTTGGAGTAATTTTATACTTCTCATATATATATTGTATCGAAGGAATAATATTCAATGAATTTCATTTCTATATTTCAAAATTGCTTACAAATTTGAATAAACAAAGACTCATTATTAAAAATATCACCTCATATAAATATAATCATATTTTTTCTATTTAAAGACACTCATCATATTGGTTCTTTGAAAAAAAATAAAACTACTGATCAAGGGTCTATAGAACTGGCAGATGGATTAAGATACAAAATAATTGAACTTGATTTAGTGTTCATCTTGTTCATAGTATGTTCTAATTTTCCCTGATAGAGACTTCAATCATCATATTTTCCAATAAATGCGATTCGAGCTGTCAGTGGACAACCTCTGGTTAATTCATTGCAAAACAACCCAGCGAGCATTTGTCGTGTAAGTCAAAACAGGGTTATGAATAAGGTTGAAATTCAAGCCATGAAATGAAAAACAATTTGTTATACTCTATTCATTTTCTGAAATTTCTGTCCATCATCCGATCAAATTTGAAACTATCCTTTCCTACTTAAGCTTTTGGCAGATTCTAAGTCACTATAGAGATTATGGACTTGTTTTGATAGCATTCAATCGGATTGAGTCAAAGTTCGACTGCTTCTGACACAATCAGACAAGATTCATACAATTCAGAATCATGACTTGAGTAGATGCATTTTATTGAAGATTGGAAATTACATCGATGGTAAAATTTGCAGTGTAGTTCATATACTTAGCATTGCCATCCTGATCAAACAAAAGAGGAGACCAGTAGGTAAAATCATGTCCTTTAGCTCCATCTGGAGAACTTTGCCACCTATCACCTTGCCACAAGTATCCATAACCTTCATTTTCAGTAGTTTTATACTGTAGAATATTGTATTGTTGAGCATGCCCTTCATTGCCTAGATTATTCATCGTTGAAAAAGGACCGAGTGGAGACGAAGAGTTATAGACAGTGACCGAAGACCCTTCTGCGCAGTAACAACAGCATTGACCAAATACTGCATAGTAGATTCCATTGCGTTTGAACATTGCGGGAGCTTCAACAAAGTTCTCTCCAAAATATCCACTATTGAATTCTTTACCAAGCGAACTGAGATAGTCATCGGACAGTTTCTCTACAGACATTAAATGACTCGGATTGTAAATTTGGCCATCAATATGCGAAGTATAAATGATATAAGCATCACCGTTATTATCTTGAAAAAGATTTAAATCTCCCGTATTTTCCCACGCTAGAGTGGTAACTTTATCGGTAACTAGTTGAAAAGGACCTTGCGGTGTATCCGATATGGCCACAGCATATTGCGATTCAGAGACACCTGTACCTGTAGCTGGCAAGAAATTGAACCACATAATCCATTTTTTTGTCTTTGGATTTGGTAAAACACGAGGACAAAACATTATTCCTTGAGTCTTCATTGAAGACATTTGAAAGGCATATCCACGAAATGTCCACGCAGAAAGGTCCATCGAAGTATATAGACTAATATTATGATTGAGTTGAAAACCGCATCCACCAGGATGCCATACACTACAACCTGACGGACCTGGTGGTTCTGTGCATAGGCCATAACTTGCTCCATAGTAGTAATAGAGACCGTCGTACAAAAAGATACTACCATCATGCGCATCCATTATAGTTCCATTTGTATCTCGGCGAGGAATTATATTACTGATTGTTACTTCACGACATTTAATGACGTTGAATACGGCTGTCGCAAGTATCATAAGAACAACGAGATTCGTGATCATTATTGCGTTGCTAAATTTGAAAAAAAATTACAAAACAATTATTATTTCTGATAATCACGCAATACTGCTAATATTTTCAGGTGATTTGTTAGTGTCTGCCAGTGACGCTTCTTAAAACAATGTCTGCTTCACGGATTGATGAAATACTTTTGTTTTAGACCTGACACAATGCTTCAAATTTGTAGCTAACCACATATGATGAACTTTTCAGTATTTCTCTTACCTATCGTTTTCGTTAGTTTAATAATAATCGATTCTTAACCAGAAGATTCAATGTTTCAAACGTTGGCACATCTGAAAATGAATATGAAAATTAAGAAACTATTTTTACTTTCTTATCATCTTTTTAGTTTCTTTTCTTGATTTATCATTTTGTTGTTATCACTTTCAATAAAAGTAACACAAGCAAATTATTAGATAATATATTATTGCAGAGAAGAGAACTGATAAGGAATAATAAATAATTCTTTGCGTTTTTATCGAGCAACCATAATGTGTTGCAATCTTGCTTACAGCTGTCTTGTGGTGAATCAAATCGATTCCGATGGGTATTTGTTATCAGAATAATTCTTTGCTACAAAAATATCAGAAGGATTGATGAGATAAATTAGTGGTAGCTATAGTCGCAGAGAGCCACTTTGTCGAATTGACCTGTGGTTTAGGAGTAATGAGATGAATTTTGATTTAGTGAATTCACACGATCGTTGAAATACATTTCTGTGACATATGGACTCGCCTCATCTCATCCAACTTATAAGATCTAGAAAATGTTCAGTTTGATTGGTTTTATTGATAACTAGTCGACTACTTGGTGATTGCCTGTATGTTTCTGATGTGCATTGTTTTTCTACCTTGGTATTCAGACGCTAAATATTTTTTCTTATTCTTGTGTTATGAGCTCTTGCTTCAAGTTCAAATTTGAATAGGTTTTGACGATCAGATCAGTATTCGATTTTTTCGATAAACTCAGATTGAAAGTAAATATCTCATTGAATTGTCGTAGTTAGACGAGTGACAAGTATTAACCAAGTTTCCAAAACATATTTCATCCAAAACAAAAAGCACCCGAACATATATTTCTTCTGCAAATTCTCACAACCAATCAGACACGATAACTATATTCGAAAATTCTATTCTAGATAAATCTATATAATTTTATCGCAACTTTAAACACTATCTTTTTTTTCGAAGATCTATCATGATTGGAGAACCACTGAAAAATTATACTTGGTTCAGAATACCACTGAAATAATTTTCTAATGCAAGTCTTTCACGTGTAGAACAAAAAATTTCTTTATCTCACAGAACAAAATAGTCAAAGTCACTACATTTCAAACGTCGACGTCTATTAGTACAAAATGGTTGAAAGTTTTTCAAACATTAAACTTCCCGGTAATAAATATGAGTAAACAACTGTTCTGTACTACATAAAATAGGATTAATGAATTCAAAGACAATATTTGATTGAGCTGATGATAATAAAAATTGACGCATGCCATAAGCAAACAGTCCATGCATACCACTAGTGAAATGGTAATCATCAATAAATACGTCAGAATTTAGGTCTCTGCACCGTGATATTATGTTTTCAGTCGATGCATTGCAACATTTATCTACATTATTTTCAAGCAAGTATATGGAAGGATTAGCGATGCTTTTTGAGACGACCGAGTAGATATGGAATATGCGTATAGCAGATCTGGGCAAGTCAAGTCAACCTTGACTTCTGACGTGAAAAACACCTGACTTGCCCAGCCCTGGCGTATAGAAACTTTATAGTTGATAGATTTCAATGAGGCAATCTTATTCAACAGTTCAGTATTGAATTGAAGTGTCAAATCACGAATATTTGGCATTGCTTGTAAAGGTGTTAGATTGAAAACTGCGAGATGTTTGATACTCATCTTGAGTAGATCGCTAATTGCATTTGACACACTCGTAACTAATGACGAGTGTGCGATTCAAGTTAATTGTGTTCATATTAGTTTTGCTCAAGTAGTTGGCAATTTATTGACGAACACCAGGTGTTTCCATTGACTGTGATCACGTAATGCTTGAAATAAAATTGTTATCAGTCGTGGTACCACCATACTCATAGTTGATAATATTAGATACGCCCAACTGATCAACCTATATAGGACCATTAGAAAATCTCCCTTGAAAATATGGTGACGGGGACCAAAACTGACTTGTCAAGTTGAACACATTGCCTGTGTCCGAATCTGAGTCCCCGAAGATCACCAGCGTATCGAACGGGATTTCCTATGTATTTATGTACCTAGCAAGTAATGTAATGGAAAGACCAAGAACGATTATCACAGTACTGCTGGACATTTTTTCTTAGCTTGAGTAATATTATCTAGAACAAAAATAAATGATTTTGTCAAGCTCTTCGATTCACTGATCAATCAGCAGACTTTGTAAATGCATTAGTTTGTTTTTTCTTTCATGATTTTGTATAAAATATTTGATTTTAAATATATATATACGTGAAAAGTAAACACAGGAGCGTATCAGTAAGGGCATCAGCGTATTAATTGTTACATGTTCACCATCATGTGCAATGATTTATCTTCTATTTAGATGTGCTCTTGAAAGAATTGTTTTTTTCATCTAGTTGTTCTCTCATCTGTTAAATAAAACACAACCCCTAACTACAGTAAGTATGAGAGAAAAACAACCAAAAAATGCAACAGTACTCTGATTCGGGCAAAATTCGAACACTCAAATACAAGATCAGAACGAAAGCAAAGTTAAGTGCATATTATAGTGAAAATGCAGGGCGTTGTACTTAGAGGACTTTTATTTTTTTGACAACCAGATGATTTCTTCTCTTTTTGAGACCCATTGAGTGAAACACTATTTGATATCAAATCTACATCGTTTTGTGTTTGTATCCGGAGATAGAACCATTTATAGGTTTGGTAGTCACAAAGATACTTGAACATTATTCGTTATTTTACCGATTTGTTTTCGGACAGAAGCGTAACCAATTCTACACATTACGTCACACGTGTCTCATTTGAACACAAATGAATTACTCTATAACTTCCTAACTAGATTTTAAGTTTTCTAAAGAGTTTCTCATTCACTGGTAACATGTCACAGAAAATGGGTCCTAGTATGGACTGTAACGAAATTAATCATTCGATTACTATGATATTTTTACACTCGATTCCTATCATGACTTACTTACAAGTATCATGCACAAATGCAATTGACTTTAGTTTAGATTTCCATCATTGTTCTAAATTATAGTGCAACTATATTTTATCATAAATGCGCATACACTATTCAATGATCATCAAATACTCTATGTACGCCAGAGAAAAGAAGTGAAGAGTGAGCTGATTAATCACTGATTCCAGCGTATAGAGATACAAACAAATAAATCCGTTGCACGTAGCTAATATATCTATTGTAGTCAATCAATGTACATCATCCTTGAAATGTGGTATGGAAATTTTACGATGCGTACAATTGGACCATTGAACGATTTAGAAAATTGAAGAATGCGTTCTAGTCATTCGAATTTCACAAAATAAGCAACCGGCAAGATTAATAGGGTATATTTGAGTGCAACTATTGAATAAACTATGAGGAATATGGGGATATTAATTCAGTTTATCGTTCGATTACCACGAAAACATTGGTAAAATATCGAAAAATTCATGTTAGTAGTACAACGGGAAAATTTCGTCGTCTTTATTAAAAGATTTTCTTTGTTCATTTCGTAATACAAAAAAAAAGAAAAGCAAGGAAAGTTGAATCTTGGATATCTACAAAAAATGAACATCTGACAAATATGTTTTATTTTATTTCGTTTTTTTCTGCTCATATCACAGTCTTGGAAAAGGAAGCCACTGAAAAGTTTTTATAATCGACCAGATAAAGAAAATAATATATCGATAATCGGTGGTGCCATTAGATTTTTCCTTGCTATATCTAATGGTCTATCAAAAACAGAAAAGAATTTAATTGCTTAACACAGAAATTTAAAGTAAAAAAAGGAAGTACTCACGTTTGATTTTCACTATTCATGGCTTCGACGAACGACGAAGATGTATTTCGTCGTAAAAGACTCTCAACAACTGGCTCATTATTCTAAAAATGACAAAAATATAAAAGTAAGAAATAAAAATTAGTTCTTTTGTCAACATACAAATATACAAGCATAATGAAGAATATTATTTCCTAAATGATCCACTGCATCAAAATGTTTACATTTTGTAACCAGCATATCTAAATAGACAGAAAGCAAATCAATCAAGAAGTGGTGTATTCTCTATACTTTAGAAGATTCAATTATTCATATAAAATATATTTGATATTTGCTTGAATCTTTTTAAGCTCTTCCCAGACAAAAATTTATATCGATTTAACAGCACTATTTTCCACATGAACATGCCCTACATTATATTTCGATTCTAATTATACTAGTCATAAAAAGAGTAATCAAAATATATAGCTATTCACCTTCCTTCCAGCGTAATTAGTTGATCTACTCATGCAAAAAATATTAGTCAATAAGATTTCATTACATTATTTATAGGCATTTAGTTGCAAGTACTAGTGTCATAGATTGAAAGAAAACGAATACCCATGGATATTCTATATACATACCGTACTAAATTCGATACTTTTTTATGTGCATCTTTCATTTATAAGTATAACAAAAAGGTTTTAGCGAAACCAAAAATTCAGTAATCTTGGAAAAAAACACAAAGAAAGGAATGATTAGCATACGGTTAGTATTTCTCTGATGATCATATAGTTGAAATTTGCATAATCTAAAGTGCTATTAGTCATACCTATTGTACTAGAATCGATTTCATTGATAAGAGCATACATAATGGGAGTTCGTTGTAAATGATCTTTGGCATCAACATCGACCTCATCGTAATGAAGTATTAGTTTTATACATTCAGATCCATTTTTTATCATTGATGCTAAATGTAAAGGTGTAAATCTTAAAATAAAAACATGAAATATTTCTCTATTGTGGAAGTTTTTTTTTGTTTTTTTTTTACCGCTCAAGTTTTGTTGGCAAATTAATCATCTTTGCAATACTATCCGTTTGTAAAGCATTCATAATTGCTTTAAGACATGTTGAATCAGCACAGATGCAAGCAAGATGAACAGGTGTTATACGACTTGTTGTCAAACATTTAAGACCGACTTCAGAAGCAAGTAGAAGACGAACTGCTGTTTCATGTCCTAAAATATGTTTTCAAAAAAAAAAAAACTACATAGTAAAAATGAAAAAAGAAATGCTTTTTGTTCTCATTCACCTCTTAAAACGGCATAATGCAATGGACTAAACCCATCGATATCAGCAACTTGCTCGTAATCATACTGAAATAAGAAGAATTAAATTCATTGAAAATACACTTTTGAAATATTTACATCAGCTAATGTTGATAGGATAGTTATATTTCCAGTTGCAGCTGCATAGTGTAATGGCAATCGTTTATTCTGATCAATAACATTCACTTTTAATTCGTGTACATCAAGTAATTCTTGTAAACTTTCTTCACAATTATGAATCGCACAATAATGTAACGGTGTCAGCAATGATAAATCTGTCACGTTTGGATTTGCACCACCGAAATTTATTAATAAACGTATACAATTCGGTGACGAATGCTCAACAGAATAATGAAGAGCCGTTCTAAAATGAAATACTATACATTAGAGCATCTTTCTATATTAATACAGATTATTTTAGCAATAAAACAAATTAGAAAGTCGAACAAATGAAGATAGACAGTTGGTCATTCTGTGGATTTGTTCGAATAATGTAAATAAATTTCAGTTTTTTTGACACGATCGAGCAACAAGTTGAAAAATCAGTAAAATTAACTACAAGGCTCATGTCTCATACTAACTCACTTTCTTTCATCATTCTCAAAGATGTCGTAAGATTTTGGTTCGATACTACTTCTTAGATTTTCAGCTACAGTTCCTAAAATATTCAATGAAAAATCTTGACAAGTATTAAAATGCTTAGAAATCAATCGATGATTATAGTCTGTCTGATGATCGATCGAAAAAATATATTTGAATATGATTTAAATTGTTATCCTGATTTTTTTTTCTACAATAAATTGCAGATAAATAATATCTCTCGAAGCAAAATCTTAATTCAAGATCTACTTCCGTATAATCTTGCTCATGTTTCATCATGTTTACTTACTTTCCTGTTTTATCGCGAAGATTGATAACGATTTTTAAATCCTCTTGATTGACTTGCAATTCTTGTAGTAAAGAAAGTAAACATTCACTTTGCCCATTTAATGCTGCATAGTGCAGACTAGTTTTTCCATCGATATGATTTATTATTTTGACATTTACTTTTCTGTGTAAAAGTAAATGTACACACGAGCAATGTCCATAACAACAAGCTAGCATAAGTGCTGTCATACCATCATCCATTGTTTCGTTTAAATCAGCATCTTTATAATTCTCAAGTATATATTCTAATGAATTATCTTTTCCTTGTAAACAAGATAGAAATATGAATTTTTTTACATCAAACGTTCGTTTCGATACTGAATCGAAAAGTATTTTAAGTAAGTAAGTATCGTTTTGCATAATACAATATGATAGACATGTTTCACCATGTTTCGTACTGATTAATACGTCACTGCCAGCACGTATCAATTGTTCAATCACATCTGATGAATTACAATACACAAGAATGTAATGTAACGGAATAGCTTCATATGTAAGACATTTTATGTTGACATCAGCACCAAATTTCAATAAAATATTGATGGCATCAAGTCCATGCCATTTCATACTTAATTACACGTACATGTACTGAATTCTTATTTTTTTCAAGGAAAACAAAATACTTACCATGCATAATGTAATGGTGTAAGTCCAAATGAATCTTGCTGATTGATAACCTCTTTATTCATTTGTTTAAAATATCGTTCAATAAATGATGTCAAGCCTGAATGAGCAGCATAATGAAGTGAATGACGTCCAACTGAATCAAGTAATAATAATGATTGTTGTGCTTGTTCACTAAGATCTCCTTCTTTTTCATGCATTAGATAACCAATAGATTGATAATCGAAATTTTTTAATGCAATATGAAGTGGAATTAAACTATGCTTATTTTTTTGACATAGCATATTAGGCTGATGAGAAACTAATGCGAGCAAAATATTTGATTGATTATATTTGCTCATTAGTGACGTTGATAAATGTAATGATGTATTATTGTCATTATCAACCAAACTGGGATCGGCACCTGCATAGAATTCAATAAAAACAATTATAGGTGTAAGAGTAAAGAGATTAGCATGTTTCATTTTTTTTACCAGCAGCAAGTAATTTATGAACAACATTTTCATGATTATGAAGGATGGCTATATGTAGTGGAGATTGATTATTAAAATTTTGCACATTGACTAATGATTCTTCTAGTTTCGATAATATATGTTCGATGATATTGGATTCGGTGAGTTTTGTAGCAGCAGCGAAATGAAGAATAGTCTTTGAAAGAGAAGAGCATTTCATAGAGCAAGCGAAAAAGTATATCTGTTTGCTACAGCATGTATATATGATGAAAAGAGTTCGTCTTTTTCTTTAAACATCGTTGAGAAAATTTTCTTGTATAGACAATAACTTTCTATCAAGTTTTGCAAAAAAGAAGGTAATCAAAATAGATATAATTAAACTAGCCTAGCTTTGGATTTTCTTTTAAATTATATATAATATTGAATTTAAAGCAGAATCAAAAAAAGAATAAAGGCTCAATATACTGAGGGATATGTTTGTTTTTTTTTCGTTTTTGGAATCCGAAATTAGTCTATTAATTAGTAAAAATTGAATAATTAGAAAAACACGACTTAAAAAGAACCTTTTCCGATCGATGTGGTCCCAGAATCATATGAATAATAATATTATTTAATTTTCAGTATCTTTAAAATACTATGAAAACATTATACTACTTTATTAATGTCATTGGCGCACAAATCTTCTACAATATCTCTTCCAGATGAATACATACATTTCCTTTTTGATCTGTTTCTGTTAATTTCGGAGCTTGTGAATGATTATTAAGTAGATCAAAGATTTCCATATTCCCAAGATAGGCAGCAAAATGAATAGGTAAACTGCCATTATGTGTTCGTGCATTGATATTTGCATTGGCATTGAGTAACCTTCGAGTACAATCAGTATGATTACCAATAATACAAAAATGTAGAGGAGTTAGACCCTTGAAATAAAAACTTATATACGATTATTATTATAATGATTAAAGTATACTTGATCATTTATGCAATTTGAATTAACATGGGCATTTAGTAGAATATTCAATATTTCCATTGATCCTTTCATTGATGTCCAATGAAGTGGATAATTTTGTTTACGGTCACATAAGTTTACATTAGCTCCAGCATCAATCAATAACTTAACCATCTAGATGTAAGAAAAAAATAATTTCAGAGCGTTTTTTCTTTCAAAATATCTTACCTCAACATTACCGGTCATACACTAAATTTATCAAAAATAAAACGAAAAGGTCAAAAATAAAAATACAACTTCCTATTAAAACCTTACAGCATAATGAAGAGCAGTCAACCCAAATTCATCAGTCGCATCGACATTTGTAACATGATTAATAATAAAAGCTGCTGACGAAGCATCAGATGACAATGCACATATGTGCAATGGAGCTTGCCAATGTTTATTTTGAGCATCACAATCAGCACCATGATCAACTAACGTTCGTACAATAGTCTATAATGAATTTTAGAAAATGAAATATTTGATAGATGAAATCGTTTCAATTTACCGGACAATTAGTTTTACATGCATAAAATAGTGGAGTTAATGATTGATTGTCTTTAGCATTGACAAATGCTCGACGTGCACATAATGTATCACATGTTTTGGCACAATTGAAAAAAGCACATAAATGTAACGCAGTGATTCCATCGATATCCTTTATTATTATTATTGTATTAAAAGAAAGAAAAAGAGCAAGAACGTCAAATGAATAAATTATGCAAATCATTTGTTTTCAAGTACTTTGGTATTGACGTCATAATTTTTGCTTAATAAGGATTGAACAGCCAGATAATCGTCATCAATAGCAGCATCAAAAAGAGGAGAAAGAGGTAATAAAAATTCGTCTGTTTGATTTATCTCTTTTTCATTTTGCTTTGGACTGGATGATTCAAACTTACGATATTTAATGAAAATCTATGTATTTGAAATTTTGTAGAAAAACAAACACGACACCTTACTTTAGATGAGACAGGTAAAGGAAAAGATAATGATGATTGAACTGTATGAGACATTTAATTTGCATACTGAAACATAAAATCAATTATAAAATCAAAATAGTGAACAAACAAATAAGAAAACATATTCCGTAAAATATCAAATGAAATGAAACTAATTCAAGTATTACACATAGTTTGTCAATAAAGCTCAAATAACAAATATAAGAATGTTAACTGGGGACATCTTACGTACGGGCACCGACTTGAAATTGTACTTAATGAAAAGAATAAAGAGTAAAATGTAACAGTGATCGATCGAACACTATTTCTTAATCAGTTAGTTAGACTATTTTCTATTCAATGAGAAGTCTCAAAAGAGAATACGGAATAGTATTAAATAATATTCATTTACATGAAAATAAATCTTTTTTTTCGAAAGAATATTAGAAGAAGAACTGAGAACATTATCCGGACAACCAGTCATTTCACTAAACCTTCTACCCGACGCTATTTTTGTTACTGCCTACAAACATGTTTTGAAGAGAACGATTCATATTTCTACCTTTGACAAACAACATGATTGCACTATATTTAACTGATTCATATTTTCGTGTACTTGAATTCAATATCTATCACGTACATTTATTCATCAGTAATCATTCATTTTCCTTAGTAAGGCTTTTTATTACCACCTGAGAATACAGACGAAAAGAATGTTTAAAGCTATTTAATACTTAACTTTTGTTGACCGAACACTTGTTTTGATGAATACTATTTTAGTATTCATTTATCTAGTGTAGATCTCGTTAATATTTTATTAAAAATTTAGGCTTGCTTTTTTCATTATAATCCAATTTTTAAAGAACATATAATAACTGCTGTTTCTACTGCATCGTTTACCTTTCCGAATACACAAAAAAAAAGCAAATCTTTTAATCCCACTACAAATCAATCAATACAACAGAACTAAAGCATGAAAAATATTTTTTTTCTTTTAATATCTGTGTTACGCAATTAGCCTTTTATCCTTTCATCTGCATAAAAAATATGTAAAGGAAAAAAAGAACTCTGTACTGTTTAAAAAAAAAAGAGAGAAAAGAAAATCAAGAGAATCAAATTAACAAATATGGACAAAATAAATATCGCATTAGAAGGAAAGATACTTCGCTGTCAATCATACACAAGGAAATATGAAAATGCTGATTACAGAAAATAGATGATAAAAAAAATGATGTTTAAATAAAGCATAACAGAGAAAGACAAACGAACAAAACTCATTCACATTTAACTAAACATGTAGAAAAAAAATGAGGTTCTATTTCGGTTATTCTTGACCGAAACCTTCGCACTCTTCAATAGCAAATAAAAGTTTTTCTTTTAAAATTTCATATTTTTTATACGGCGGTAAATCTAATCGATTAAAACATGTATGCGATCGTGGTAATATATTATCTTTGCCATATTTTTCTATACAAAATTTTTGTGGCCCGTTTGATCCTATAATGGAAAATAAATTAAAATTAAAATTATGAATTATATGATTTTACCAAGTAATTCAGAAAAACCACCGATCGGTACACGACATGTACCCGTCACAAATTGGAGTAAACGCGCGCGTTGTTCATCGGTTATTTCACGTACGAATTGCCAAAACCATTGAATTTGTTTTGTACTTTGAGTATAATGTTTATATATTGTGTTACGTTCCCAATCAACAACATCAATTTTCGATATACCACATAGCAATAACTCTAATTCACGTTCATCAAACATTTGAATCCATTGCAATGGTACAACCTAAGGTATTGAATAAGAAAAATGATCCTAACTTTGATAGTAGTCGATTATAGCATTATGTAAAGGAAAATTTCGATGGGAACTATTTTTAACTGTATCAAAAAATATTTAGAAAAATGACAACGATTGATACCTCCGAAAGATCTTTTCTATAAATTTTCTAATTCTATTTCATTGAAATCAATACTATTTACTAACTGTTTTTGCCTTCGTCAGTTTTTGCCTTCGTCAATTATTCAATGCGAAAGAAAATTACCTCGTTAAATCCATGTAAAAAGGCTTTTGTTTGTTCTTCAACTCCTCGTGTAAATCTCCATTGTGTTATTAATTCTAAATATTCGACTTTATTAGCTTCCGTTAATTTAATATCGTTACCACCAGGTTTTAATTCAACATTTTCTATTTTGCCAAGTAATTCAAATGTTGTATTAAAATATAATTCAAGATCATCATTTTCATCTAGATTATTATCTTTTATCCATAGTAAGCTATTATAAAATTCTGGATCTAACGATTGTAAATCATTTATAGTTAATGTTTTGCCAAGCATACGTCTATAAAATGGTAAACCAAAACCGTTATCAATAAATTTTTCATGATATAACGCCATTGCAACAAAACGACCAATAAATCTAAAATAGAAACCATGTCATGACAAAACAAAAACCGATAAACTTCTCAATCAATTATACCCAAAATAAATTAAATGGTCAGGATTGATCGACGATGCTGGATTGATTTGTAAATAGTAATTATTTTTATTAGCATATTCAAATAGACAATACATTGGATTAAGTACTTCGTGCGATAAACGGAAAAACCATTCACGCGCAACTCCGCCATAGTCAAGTGCTTCTTCATGTTTAAATGAAAGATATAAACGTCGACGAAGTTCACTTGATTGAAAATGTACGATATGATTAAATGAATCATTGAATAAACGATCTCGACGTATTGTTAATTTCAATTGCCCATTTGTGGCATTTGTTGAACATAAATAACGAAATTGTCGAATTTTATATGGTAAACTACGTTTACATTTAATATTCGCAACATTACATTCAAGTCTTGGATCTTGTAACGTTTTTGTATTTTTATTATGATCAAGAAAATAGATTTGGCCTTCTTTTGTACAACACATTTCAAAACCATCCGGTAATGGAACATCAAATATACTACTGCTCATTTGCCGTGGATCTTCCCATTGAGTTGTTTTTGATAGATGATTTACAAAATAAGATCGACCTTGATTATCAAACATGCGCTGCCAACCTTCAAAAAATGTTTATTCGTTGCAAAAAAGAAATATTAATTTGATCTATCGTGACATTTGTTCAAAACATGTTATTTCTTTTTCTTAATGTTAATGGAATGTGTGCATGAGGATCTAAGTATATTCTCACTACAGCTGCCAATGCTCATTAGTAAGTCTACAATGAATAAATCGTTGTTGAATCAATACTAACATTGCTATGAATATATTGAAAAGGATTTGAGATTTAAGGTTATAGTTGTATAGATATATTCAGAAAAACTAATTTCGTGACTTCAAAATTCTCAATTAAGGAATATAATTAAATGTATTCTATTTTGTGATCTATATCGAGTTTCTTTTCAAACAAAGTTTTTTTCTTTGTTGATCGTAATTGAACTATTTTTACTTGGTCTTACAATTACGACCATCTTGTATAGGAGATATCCTTGAGAACTCCCATGGATATTAGATATATTCTCATTGCTGTGCTGTGAAGTGGAATATGAAAGAACGATAGACGATAATCAACTATGATTGTTTACAGTATCGATACATTTGAAAAGAAGCATTCTTACGTAATTTCATTAGTCTTTGTCTGTAACTAGAGCATACGCGTCATGCTGAGATTGATTAGCACCAGTATCTCAAAGAATTATTTTCTCTATTTGTCTGAGTCATTAAGCTATTTTCTTAAATTAATGAATTCTTATCTATTAATAGTTTACCTTCAGGTAACGGTTCTTCATTCGAATCATTTATTGGAGTATTATTTTCTGTTTGTGGTAAAAATCTATGTTCAAATTGATTGAACATTGAATGACTTCTTGCATATTGATTTTGCCATTGCGCCACATTTGATAGATGCATAGCAGTTGGACGTATCCATGTTGTTGTGCGAGTATTATGATCAACAAAATAGACACGCCCACGACCGTCAACGCGTTCTTCCCATCCAGGTGGTAATATAGTTTGATCGAGTAGCCATGTTGTGCGACGACGATTATGATCAACATAATAAGGACGACCTTGAGTATCTGTTCGAATTTCCCACCCAGTCGGTAACTGAAATGAAAACAAAATCAGAAATATATTAAAACTTGTGTACGTTTTTGATTAACCTGCTGTTTAAGTTGAGCTAATAGCGCTTCACTGACTGGTGAACTTGCTATTTCAATGGGGGTTACTGCTAATGCTGTAGCTCCATTTATTTGATTCGTTGGCAAATGTTGTCTTGACTGTATGACTTGTGGATTCGATGTAGATTGTTGATTTGATGTTTCATTCTGAGAGTTTGCATTTTGATCCTGAAAATGAATAGAATATTTTTTGACATTTAAATAATAGTAAATCTCTTTTTCTTACTAATTCAGATGATGTTTGTACTGTTCCATTCTGTTGTTGTTGTTGTTGTTGTTGTTTAAGTATTGAACCATAAAAAATGACATCAATTATACCTGTTGAAGGATCATTGGAATCATTTAATCTAGACGAGCTGGAAGATGATGTAGAATTTTGAAATTTTAATTGAACATGATGAGATGGGGATGTATCAGTATTATTGTTTTCTTCATTCAAATAATAATCATCAATAATGGATTTTAAATTGACATCTATTTGTCCTATATTAGTATTACCGAAACGACGTGTAGGAGCATAAATTCTAAAATTTATCTTTGAATTCAATGTAACAAGTGTATTGAAATATTCATTAATTAATATAACTGAGTTGGTTGGTATGTTAGATTTTCTTTTTTTATGAATTATTTCAGTACGATATGGATATTTATTATCAGTTTCCATAATAACACATATATCAACTAGTTTAATTGATGATGGTAAACGTACAGAACAAATTTTAACACGTAATTGAGACAGAGATTCCGGTGGATGAGTATCAGATGATGATTGAATTGTTTCTGACATTGTTTTGATGTTCTATTGAGACTAAGTTACCATAGCATGTCGATTAAAATAAGTTTGATAGGAATAAACTCCTCTTTTTTTAAAATTTGAACAGAGCTCTGATCGTATTCTTCCTTGAAACCTAATAAATGACAGCGTAAGAGAAAAAAAGTATTATATGTGATGCTACACACACACACGTGTTTACCCTTTTACACATTGGTCTAGCTAATAACCAATAGAATCGTGAGAATTCTTGCACATGCACGCCGAGCCGATCACACAGACATTGAAATATGATATTGAAAATGAAGTTTGACGTGACCTTATGGATTCATATGGTTTCCTATAATGGTCTATTTACTTGAATTATTCGGAAATATGAAAAATAACTGCCTGCTTTATTTATCAATCAATCAAATTGCATTGAGAATGTAAATTTCAAGACATTAGTAACACAGAGTTTCTGATGGAACAATTCTACAATAATAACACATGTACGTATTAGTGTATACATATGTAGAGACGATACGGCGGAGCTGAGAAATGAGTTCTAATTAATGAGCTAGTATATAAATTCATAGTGTTCACTTTTAGGTTAATATTGATATGCGTGTAGCATGCTATTTATCATTTTTTCATCGACTTGAGAAAACCTTTGGGAAATAAAAAGTTCTATGACTTGACTTGAGCACTCCAGAGATTAAAATAATATAGTAGAAAGTGTCAATACGTGTGTTTTATGTGAATATTTTGCATTGGTCGCGTGTAATATCAGTGTGTTTCTGATTGATTCTGAAATAGCTATCGAAATATATTATACTATATCTTATGCATTTATATTTGTGTTTAATGTTTGAATAATACAGAATAACCAGAATAATTGAATACTATTACCTACGTGATACTCAACACGTCGTCGTATTGTACTCGTTCAAATAATATATTTTGTTATTTGAGTCTTTTCCATTATGAAATAATAAATAGAAAAATCTACTAGAATCGCTTTCATTATTGTTAGTTCTATGAGTAATCTTTTGTAATTATTAATTTGTTGAACGTATTCTTCAAGGGTCTCTTTTGTTTTGCTAATGTTAAAAGTATTTAATTGATTTTTGATTCGTCGAGTCAATTGAATTGACTCAATTCAAGTGAGATTCTCATGTCAGGAGAGAGAATCCTGACAAAAACTTGTTTTCTTCTTCTTTGTTTTCTTGCTAATACAACCACACGTCATGTATATCAACTTTCTGACATGTACTTGTCTTCCGATATATAAATTGTCACTCTAGCAAAATAAAGGAAAGTTCTATGAAGAATTTCTAAATCAGAAGGGAAGTAGAAAACGAGTCCGTGATGATGTTTATGATCAAACTGTCACATTCTATTGCCGATAATATCCGTAAAGATAAGTCCAACCCAAATAAGCACTGTCTCACTTTTATATTATTTAGTATATTTTGAAATGAAATGATAATTTCATACAACTATTCAACGATAGTGCGCAGTACAAAAAGCAAGACTTTTTTAATAAATTAATTACGTGTAATCTTGAGTTCATTTCATCTCGTAATCTTAAATATAGGCGCACACTCGTACAGATTGTTTGCAACTAAGCGTTTGTTGTGAATTATTAGATCATTGCAACTCGTATAAATGTATTGATCATAAAAAGAATCAAGTTTTCTTTTTGCGTTTTAGGTTGATAGTATTAAAATACAGTTGTCATAGAATCAAACATTTGAAAACTCCAATGGAATTCAAATGGTTCAGAAATATCACTGAAAGGTTTCGAATGGTATACATACTTTCTATATAAAACAGAAGAGATATGAGCAGGCAGGCTTCGTTTCTTTCTCACTCGACATGAAAATGGCATGCTGAAATGTCAACATATTTCCTAAAGAATTTATTTTTCAACATGTAAAAACGACTAAAAAAAAGAAATATTTAATTTTTTCGTTTGTTAAATAATATAAACGTTGATAATAGTTCATAGTTTTCTAGTCTTACTCATTATCTTGTAGATTGACTACGTTGACTTCCGTTTGAATATTTCGTATATTTTAAGGATTATTGAAATAAAGAAGATAGTCATAATTAAAAATCCGTTCTCGTTTGCATCTTCTATTTTTCTTTCTCAATTGAGGCATTATGGCCCGTACAAAAGCGTGCTAATAGAATAAAATTTGAATGGTGGAGAAACAATTAGAGAAACATCAGGGCTTTGTTTCTAGGGTAGTATTGCATAGAACAAGTTTCTGTTCTATCTACTGAAACTAGATTGATTAACTGAGAAGGTTTGTATATACAAAAAGAAACACAAATGATAGAATGACTTGCAGTTTGACGTTTATTATTTGAATAAAATATGTCTGTTAAATACAATGTATAAAACGAGTAGTGCATAAGAGAAGAAATGCCATGTTCCTAATAAATGTTCACATTGACAAATATTATGGAGATACTAGATTGATGTCAACAAGTTCACTAAATCAGCTCTAACTCCCGGTGATTCAGGTCGAATCGACAATTTTTTTGTTAATATCATTAATTTCGTGCATATAATTTAGTCTTAGTTTATTTCTTTCGAAGTCTGTATACTATTTTTCAATTTTATTCATTCCATACTAAAGATTCTAGTTTACATCAATTTTTGTGACATAGATCAACGTGATATTAGTAATTAAAAAAGAAAATATGCATTTATAGATTTGTATTGATTTATGCATAAGAAATACATTAGAATGTAAAAATCTCATGCCAAACTGTAATCATGCATCTTCTATAACATATCGTGTTATTTTGTATCAATTTATTCAACTGAATATATTAACACTAATGAGTCTAATTTAAAGTAGATTTCGGATCGAATTTTAATGGGCCATGAACAAGTTGGTTGATGAAGCAAATTCAAATGTACTTACGATATCCTAATGAGATTTCGTGTTCAACAAACAACGAGTCTAATTAATTGTTAAAATAATTCTTATCTTAAGTTGATATTGCCTACAATGTTAATGTGACATACGATGTTTTTTATATTTAACTACATAAATTATGAGTTAGCCTATAGAAAATGTGCAGAATAATTTAATACAAAAGTGAAACCCAAAGTTTCGACATTTATTTCAGTATTTGTCGTCATTTTTTCTGCACTAATAAAGAACATATTGATCACGAAATTGATTTGTTCTTTTGTCAATGTAGAAAATTTTGAATGCAGAATTGCACCTGTACTTTCACCTCTTAGTAGTTGATGCCATGCGTTCGACGACTTCGATGGATCCATGTACATCATCCATCAATCATGGTTAGAATATGAATATTCAAACGAATAATGCTAAAACTCTTTTGAAATTCTATGTACCTTCTTGAAAATTGATGATTTTCTATTGAGAAAATTTCAGAATTCTTTAATCATGCTGTTGTTTATTAACTTTTTTCAAAACAAAAAATAAAACAGTGACTGCAGTAGAAAATAATCTAACAGAAAATCAATCATTATCGAGTCAGTGTTATGTCATAATTTTCCTATGCTGATGAATATTCATAAAAATGGAGAATTTTAATAAACGATTGCCATTGGTAATCCATTGGTAATGTACCGTTGTTGAATTTCGCAAAAATTTTCCGTAGGTTATTTGTAAATATTTGATAATTCATACCGCTTTTAATAGAAATAATTCTAACTAAACTAATATATGTACTTCGCAATCTTAAATCAAGTACTACTATTGGTATTAAGCATGCCCACATCACACCATCCATTGACAGGTAAACAACTGATATATTTGCACCAGGAACATTGTATTCTTCCTGTGTAAAAACTTTCTGTAAAAGTTACGAATATGGCAATTACCATACCGACTGCAATGAATCTTACTAACCACCACATCCACCAACCTCTCGGTCGATTACGAAAGAATTTTTCATAACTTCGTAAGTTATTCCATTCGTTCTTAGCACGTTTAGATCTCTTCGGTTTTAGGGCTCGCCCGAAATTTGTAGGCGAGCTCAATATTGCCAAGCCAAATAGTAATCCCATTATGAAGCCACCCACATGACTGAAATTATCGACACCAGGCAACAATCCTAATGCAAAACTCATAATAATATCGATTAAGTGAACAATAAGTTGAATTTTTGGATTTGCTATTTTCTTCCAATGATAAAGTAAATTGAGAAGTGATATTGCAATAGTTCCAAATAATGAACCACTACATCCGACTCTAGCAAGCCCATTGGGTGCAAAATTACTTCCAAGTATAAAACCAAATATACCCGATGCAAAATAAATAATGGCTATCCGAATTGCACCAATTTTTTTTTCTACCTCTGCCGCGATCAAAAGTTGACCAATTAAATTTAAAGCAATATGAACGATGCCAACGTGTAAAAATATCGGTATAATAAAACGATACCATTGATTAGGCGTACTCGAAACACCACCCAAACCACACAATTCACTAAGAGTGCAACCGGTTCCTCCTAATGGTGAACTACTGGGACAAGGAAATTTAGTTGAACCAACATTATTGGTAATGCCATCAATGGCATGCATGCAAGGAGAAAAACTTGCACCCATATTTATTAAAAGAAATGCATTTGGACCAAATAAAGGATTCTTAGAAAGATCTGTTTCAATTGGACGACCAATTAATACCCAATTATAGATTAGTTCTCCAATGAAGACACATATTTCTATAATAGATATAATCCAAATAAACCATGGACGACGTTGTTGTTCTGTGGTCTTGGACATTAAACTGGCATCAGTTCGAACAAGTGGTGTCGGTGTCCGATTTCCAAATGAATACGAATCATCAGTGCCGATTGAATTCACTCCAACAACCAAGATATGTTGTTGTGTTGTATTGCCGAGATAGTAACGTCTTGGCTGTTGACCAAAATCACTTCGTGATTTATATTCTGGATAAGATGAATTGTTTATATCTCTCTTTGCCAGACTGGAACTTCCGTGTACATGCGCCCATTGCACATGTCTATTGATGCTTGATCTACGTCCTCTGTTCATTTTATCCGATGACATAGTGTAAAACGTTTTCCTGCAGCAAAATAAAAGAATGCTTTAATCCGTTTATCAATATTGCTCGATCGATAACAAAAGAACAAAAAAAACCTTCAAATTTGGCTCTAATTATTTATTTTACGTTTTAATTAATAGGAACTATGTTTCTTTCCTCCAAATTCAATTTCTTCCTGGCACATAAAATACGCTCGGTTTCTTCATTTTTTTTCTAAAGGCTCACAAAATTTGAAAAAAATCCAGCTATGTGAAAACATGCACTCATCCCGTATGGAGACCCAGGAGGAATCTATAGGGCTATGTGTAATGGAACGACTTGTTCGTTCCTTCGTTTATTCAGAATGAAGGCTTTTTTTTTTGAGCAACCTAATACGAGTAATATAAACAGTCAAGAAGAAGAGAAGAGAGGAGAAAATATAAAATAATGACTAAATGATAATAGTGATTAATGAGTACAAGCACGCTCGAAGGAGTCGTGATGGATGGATGGAATCCGTCTCATTATGGATAAGCATACTTAAAAGCATCCATACCGTTGAAAGCGATCGTATTCAGTGAAATGGTTATTTTAATTGTATGTACTTCAAGTGACTCAGTCATTGCACTGAGCTTAGTAAGATTTTTACCTTATCAACATTGAAATGCTTACAGATAAAATATTGAAAATTCATAACTGTCTGCGTATTAAAAACTGTATTGAATTTTATACAACGAAAAGTCATAAAGAATTTTTTTCTAATTTTTAACAAAATGTCTAGTAACTCGCAGTAATAGAACGACGTTAATCATACTTTCAACTTAGTGAAGAAAGTATTATAGGCGTGTCTATAATCGAAACAGTGCTTCACTTAGATGGTAGCTCATTTTTGCTTCTTTGTCATTGATTTCTTTTAGAGGCTGCTAAGTCATTTGACATTTGCTATTCTGAATAAAAGCTGAAATCGATATAAAGAATACTCAAATGATGAATGATGTCTTTTGAAAGCCTTCGCTCTGTCCTTCGTGCCTGCAACAATCAATCTTATTTATTGTAATAATATTGATCTATTTCTTTTCTTCTTTCGTATTTTGTATCTTTAATTGGTGAACTAATATTGTTATAATGATATTGTATCGAAAGAAAAACAAAGACATACAGTAATTTCATTGGATACATTTCTTACAAATATTTTCCTATTTTGTTCTAATTGAAAAGATGTACTAAATTAATGTCACGAGTTCTTAATATAATTAATACACACGAATATATCTCAAAATTAGCAAGTTTACTTCAAGAAAGATTGATACAGATTAATGGGAACTTCATCGCATGGAGAAATCAACGTAAACCAATGGGTGTAATATCCTATTATGTAATATGGATTTGTGTTTAACCTATTGATTTTATAGAAAATTTAAAAAACCAAAGGGAAGATATGACAATTTAGTGATATGACCTCGAATATGCTATTCCAGACAGGAAGTATTTGAATTCAGTTAACTCAACATTTTTCTCTACATTCAAGTATAACCAAACAACAGCAACGTGGTCAAGTTCAGATGTTACCTATTTTGAAAATAACAGTTCAACCTTTGTGCACGATGAAAATATTGAGAATACTTTAGCAGATTGTTTCCATTTTTATTTTGTCTTCTATCAATTACGTTACTTACTATACGTCAACATTTCCATTAGTTACCTTTCAATTCGAGCCGGAGACGAAACATGATGTAGTCATCATTGTATTTTTACTTGACCAAACATGCAGCGGTGCAAAGAAATTTATAGAAACATACATAGTGTACGTGTTATATATGTTGTAAACAATCTCGAAAATCCTTCTGACCGCATTGCCATCAGAAAAGTAAACAAAAGTAGATCAACGAGTCATAAAAATAAAGTTTGTACTTTAGAAACATAGTGCTGTGATCGAAATAGGCGCAATAAACAAACTTGAAAATAAACATGATCGTTTATAAAGAAGTGCTTTGAAAACATTTTTCTTTTCCCCTGTTTAGTTCATCAGTTATGAATAAGAAAATTAAAAATAGAAATATTCACGTTCTAAATATAACTACAATAGAACAAATCTGATTGTTAACAACCGAGTTTTGTTTTCGTCACCAACGATGACATTAGGGTGGGGAATGAAAGGAAAATGATACTTTGGATGGCCAAATGTTTTCAACTCATTATTTTTTCAGTTTGTTTTATCGAATGCTTTTATACAAAAAATAAATCGCTTCAGTCACATTCAACATCGTTTCTAAAGTTCAAAGAAAGTAATGTATAACTGGAAAATTTCATCTATGAAGATGCTAATTAATTCGTGATCAAACTTATTAGTGATGAATCTGAGTGGGTGAGGTTGCATAGAAGGGAAATTTCTCACAAACAAACTTTTTGCAAGGAAAATCAATGAGGACGAAACGCTGAAAAAATTTGGTAATCAACAGCGCTCACAGTCGGGAATGAAACTATATACTTTCAATTATGCACATCGTTGAATTCAAAATACCAATTCATATTTCATTCTATCAAATATTCAATTAAATGTTTTTAAAAAATGACTCATATGAAATAAAGTAGATGTATAATCGTCAATCGGTGGCTTCTACCGCTAGAAGTCAATATATATCAACTAATTAAGTGGCGGCGGAGTCATTAGGCCTGGGTAGGTACAAGTCTAACATAGATTGGAGGAGACTAGGTCCCAGGTCGTTCATTCCTACAATCGGATCCAATAGGATCTGAAAATGGTTGCATCGGATCTTACATGAAAACCGACAAGAACCAACAGATTCCGGGTTTCGGGCCGAGAACCCAGAATCCAACTGGATTTCCTCGGTTAGTAGGATGTTTTAGGGTCCGATAGAATCCGTCGTCGGATTAGTCAACCTGGGGTTTAAGCAAATTTCAAATAGTGCACACCAACGACCTGATAGGCTCGGTAAAATATAAAAATGTGCTACTAATGTTTATTTTCATATTTTTTCGATCAATGACGCCTTTTTAGATTGTCAGTCCATATTGCAGCTGCTTCTAGTTTGTGGTCAATGATATATTTTTTGAATTTCATTGGCATCGAATTTGGATATCCAAATCTTTTTTCTTAGTATAATACAGTGAATTTCTTTTTCCAAAATTCTATTTAAAATGATTTTTGAATTTTATTCCAGTCACAAAAACCAGGTAAATTTTAGAAGTTAATCACAGTTTACGAGAAACAATTGCCTGCAAGTGGCTATAACAGAGCTGGCTAATGAATCAGTTAAATCGTTGGCTTTCTCCGGTTTTCACTACATTGCTAAATAATTGAAAACTATTACTCCTTTCTATCTCGATACCATCTAAACAAAATCAGGTTCTATCTTTCTTTCAAAATAAAACACGAAGCTCACTTGTTTTAATGAAAGTTCATCTGTTATTGCAATTCTATTTATCAATTCAAATAATCCTAAAGGTGAGTCATGATTATGAGCAGAAATATCATTGTTAAAACCACTAGAAACTTTGCTATCAACTTGATCAAGCATTTGCACCAATTTTATTTTAAAGAATCAAGAGAGAAAACGTTTTAGCTACGGAATAGTTCTATTTCTTGTCTGATTATTTTTTCTCGCGCATTTTTTCAATAACTCTTCTCAGCTACTTCGCTTGCTTCTATGTTCTCGGGTGCAATCATGCATTAGCTGTCACATTTATAAACAATCAAAATCTGGGCAGAAAATCAATAACGATATTCATTGTAAAAAAAAAAGAATAAAAATACTTTCAGCTGGTTCACATCCATAAATACAAACCTAGGGCTGAAATCAGATTGAAGTGAATTAAGCAATCTCTTATAATAATGAGCTTTTAATCCATTTTCAAATGGTTTTCTCAAAATATAACCTAAAAATACAATCGAAATTTCATGGATTGCACGATTGATGCTGACTATAATCGATTATGACTTCATAAAAAATAGAGTGTAATTGGTGCAAACAGCGTTAAAACTGTTCATTTGTCATACAGGAAAAAAATTTGAATCCTATATTTTTATAAAGACAGACATCATGTTGCGAAAAAAGTGAGCCTACCCTAGACTGAAATCGTTCCGCCGCCTCTGGTACCATTGTGGCTGTGGGTATGACTGTGTGATGGAAGGAAAGTCAAGATTAACAATCGCACCCAAATACCCATACCCGTTCTCTATCTATTTATACGTACTCATACCCAGGATAATAATTCCTGAAGCAGTATTCCGTGAATTTCCGGCGAAAACCTGCAAGAAACTCGCTGTTTCCGACCGGAACCCACCAGAAATTGTCCGGAATTCGATGCAGGAATCCGAAAACCGTATCCGGCTACCAGTTTTGACAGGTTCCTGTCGATTTCGGCCGGAACCGGATACATTCGGTCACCGGACCCTTTCACCAGAATACTGCCTCCATGAAATCTCCGGAATACCACAGAACCGGCCGTTTCCGGGACCGGAATGTTCGACCTGGGTACTCATTCAGTACGCTCAATGACAATACCATTTTTTTATCAATTTTAGGTCAAAACGATTATAAATTTCTGCTGGTAGTAGAGATAAGACGTACCCCGGTCGAAGAAAACGATCAGTAAACGGTCGTATACGATACAAATACGGCCCGTTTTACGTGCCGTATTTTCCCCGTATAACAGGGGCAGTAATACGACCATATGGTCTATAGAATACGATGCAAAAACGACCGTTTACGGTAATGTTACGCCGGTTTACGGTGGCCCGTTTTGATCGACCTGGGTAGGGGCGTCACCAGAAAAAAATTATAGGGGGAAGGGTGTTTAGGAGTGGTCATTTAGTGTTACTTTACTAAATAAAGATAAAGGATTCATTTATCTTTATCCTTTAGTATAAAGGAAAATAAAGATAAAGGGTCACCCCTAGGGGTGTGATG